AGTGATGATTAAAGACTGTTAAATAGCATGTATCAATTTTATAACGGGAAATAATCTTATTTGTGTTATCTATTCTCTACTGGCAGTAATCCCCAGTAATAGGGGCCACTCCAATATGCCCAGTAACTCTAAGAATTAAGCTTGTTGGAGTATACTAATTTAATTAGGTTCTTTCCACATTGGTAAAATAATTGATTGTGGCAAAGCTTCATTTAACTTATCTAGGCCCAAGATAAACATAAGTGCTCATCTTATTAGATATCTCTCACTTCCCCTAACTCAATTCACATTTCATATCCTCATCCTGGCCCTTCTCTGGCTGGTCTAACTGGGGCTATACTTCCCTTATTCCTCTTTTACTATTTCAACAAAGGCACTAAAATATCTTTATTCACATATCTTAAATTAGAGTATGAGATGTTTTCCTTGACCTCTTTCTTATTTTCTTTGAGCAAAAGCCAACATTATCTCCAATTCTCCAAGAGATTAATAGCTTAACAGAGTTTCTACTTTCTCACATAATCCTGAACAACAGACTGAGAAAAATGGAGATACTCCCCTTAAGAGTCCAAGATCTTTAGTGGAATCAGAATGCCATGAAAAACCTTATTTTTAAGTATTTTAGGCATCCACTTTAATATCAGCTTTTTATCTTCCAGCTTTTCATTTTGACAAAGGCCCCTATGCTATATGCCAAGTTCTTAAAACAAAGCTCCTCATCTACCTTAAATAATCACAAAAAGTGAGAAACTACAAAACCGTAGTTTAGAATTATATGGTGTGTCTATGTGGATGTAGATAAATGGTAAAAAGCAAACATAAATATACACAATTACCACTTATATAGCAAAAGAGAAAAAAATGCAAGCTGATTAAGATCTAACATTGATAGAAAAACTGCTCTGTTCACCTCAATACATCTTTTATTTGTTATATGTAGAAAGAATCTCATTTTAAAAATAACTTAAGTTCACAGATAACAAAAATATTCCCTAAGAAACTCCTTTTTTCAAATCAAATCTTTTACTGTGTCTCCTCAAAAGCAAACTCTTATCTCTCCATGTAATTCTCTGGTAAACATTAATTACATCTTAAATAAGTGTGCAAGGCACCCTCTAAGATGCCTTTCAATGATTTCCACCTCCTAGCTTTACACTGTGTACAGTACCCTCCTAAGACTGAGTAATAAAAGACCATGGCTTCTAGCTTAGACTCTGTCATCACTTGTTCTAGAGGAAGCCAACTGCCACATCTTGAGAATACTTAGGCAGCCCTGGGGAGAAGCCTGCATGGCAAGAAATCGAGACTTCCAGCCAACAACCATGTGAGTGAGCCTTCACGGGAATGGATCTCTCAGTCCCAGTCAAGACTTCATATGATGCAGCCCCAGCTGAAAGCTTGATTACAACTTCATGAGAGATCCTGAGTCAGAAATGTCTTGCTAAGCTGCTCCAGAATTCCTGATCCTTAGAAACTGTGAGACAATACATGTTTGTTGTAAGCCATTATATTTCGGGGTAATCTGTAATACAGCAATGTACTAATACAATGAACACTGCCATTGCCCGTCCTTCAAAAACCAAATTGCTACACATTCGTCCCTCAGTATCTATAGGTTTTGCATTTGGGGATTCAACCAACCAAAGATTTAAATATTTGGGCGGGGGGGAGTTACATGTTGCTGACATGTACAGTGTAGTTAGGCCTAGGATGGTTGTGTCTGCACTGAACATGTACAGACTTTTTTCTTGTCATTATTCCCTAAACAATACGGTATAACAACTATTTACATAGCATTTACATTGTATTAGATATTATAAGTAATCTAGAGAGGATATAAAGTATATGGGGATGATGTGTGTAGGTCATATGCAAATAGTATGCCATTTTATATAAGCAACTTGAACGCCCACAGATTTGGGTATCTACGAAGGGTCCTGGAACCAGTTTTTAAAAATAATTATAAATAAAAATTGTAATTGCAAAAAGTGGGAGACAAATTTGTTTTAAAATCTTGGCTAAAATTAAAAGGCAACTATAATAATGTCAGCTTGCCAGCCCTACTTGTAAAAACAATGACCTAACGATGTACTATCAGGAGGATATGAGCTGTTTCTGGAAAAAGACCAGGTTGGGCAGGTAAGTTGAGAACACAACATCAACTTTTTTTAAATTGGGGAGGAAATCCGTTTGTAATTTTAAAATCACAATATCCTAAGAAGCCATGATAAGACATCCCACAAAGTAGGCAATATCTATTTGATTCTATTGCTTTATCTTGTTATAAACCATATCACATGTCTGCTGATAAACACATAAGAAAGATAACAGCAAAAGTACCAAATTTCAGCAGTAGATTCCACTGACATATAGGAACATGGATGATTTTTTCCCTGTAATGTTTCCACACTAAGTCCAACATACTCCTACAAGCAACCTTCCCAAGGACACATAAGATTTTCTAGAGTAAAAAAAAAAGCCCTTTTAAAAAAATTTATTTCATTAGAAAAAGCACTAAGTACACACACATTTAATGCATGAATTGGGTATTTAAAAACATTCAGTGAGCGCCCTAGCCAGTTTGGCTCAGCGGTTAGAGCGTCGGCCTGCGGTCCGGAGAGACCTGGGTTCGGTTCCCGCTAAGGACACGTACTTCGGTTGCAGTTTGTCCCCGGCCCTGGTTGGTCGTGCGGGTGGCAGCCACTCGATGTGTCCCTTTCACGTCGATGTTTCTCTCTCTCTCTCCCTTTCTCTCCCTCCCACTCTATCTGTACAAAAATTGGGGGAAAAAAAATGTCCTCGGGTGAGGATTAAAAAAAATAATAATAAAAAAAAAATAAAAACATTCAGTGAGCAACATTAAAAGAAAAACAGGAATTTTACATTTGTCTGGGAAAAGAAATATTCATTTCAGCAATGGAATGAACTGTATTCATTCGCAACATAATAATTCGGTAATTTATTAGTGATGATTTCAGTTATCTCCATAGTAAATATATGTATTGATACTGAAAAAAAAGAAAAGAAAACACTAAGACTGTCCTAAAAATGAAAGCAGTAGCATCAATTAAGTGTCATTTGAGTCAAAGGGCAATAATTTAGTCATCAATATTGGCAAAAATAGTAGATTTGAACTTTGAAGTTCTTTAGCTTATAAATAGGAGATAAGCATTCTCTCTCATATAACTTAACATATTTATTAAGTCTAATTAATCCTAACTGATCTCCATTGACTGAAGTTTATAGATCATTTCCAGCATACTTAAAACCATGTTAAATTTTAAAATATTATCTTCATTGGAAAATGTAGCATCTCTATTGCAATGTACAATAGGTATGAAGTAAAATTTACCCAGGACATGCCTTTTCAAGAACTGCCATAAAATTTTATTAATAGGGCCCTCCGATCTTGCAATAATCGTCCTGCAGAATTTCAAAGAAACTACTTAGAAAAAGTCAAATGTGTGCTCAAATAATCTTATCCAAGGAGAACTTCAGCATGTGAGTGTCTATATTGTTTTTCAAGGAGCTCATTTTCAGAACTGAATATTTTAAAACTACATACTGAGTACATACATAGCTTACAGAATATGCTAGCCTTCTATTATGACAATATAATATGATTACACATTTAAAAAAGAAATTGATTGCAATGTGACATTTTTCCTGTAAAAGCACTGTGGGTAGACAATGTCTTGAATCATCCAAAACTAATTGGTTCACAATTCCCTGAACTGGGGGGAGTGGTCAAAAGGCACAGCTAATAAAAAGTTCTGAAGTAGTATAGATAGGTCACGCTTATATGAGGTAGATAAATCTTTCCTCCATTCCAGTGCATAAGCCAAAGAAACACTTTCAAGTGCCTGTGACAAATCAAATGCCATGTTCCAAAATCAGTGTGCTCTAAACTTAAGGAATCTACAGAATGGTTATGTACCTACCAACTTTGGGGGCGTGGGGCAGGGGGGAAGAAAACTTCTAATTTTCAAACACATCAGAATGTAACACAAAATAGTAGCAATACATTGTCTGTATTACCATATTTAAATGACAAGACTATTTTAAGACTGAATGATTTTATCGTTTGCTCCTTTCATCTTTTTGATTTTATGAATTTTTAGCTTTTTCAGCTGGACTCAAATTCTGACCTACCAGCATTCTGCATTGGTTTTAAAAATATCCTATTTTAACATGTTGGCTTAAAAATAGCTTTGCTTTCACCATTCCAGATTAGGATGAGCAGAAGCCTGCTTTTTCGTGTAGAGCCACAGATTCCCAGAGAAATACTTTCTTGTTAACTTAATTCTTTCAACCTCCGGGGACACAACAAAAACGAGTTTAACTAGCGAAGCACCGAATTTATATGGGCTTGCAAGTGTGTATCTGCAGTTGCTGGTTTGATCCATTCTTTCCATTTCCCAGGGAAATGTTTCCTTTGGCTGCTCATATGCATGCAACTAGATATGAGTGCAAACAAGCAGCCGAGAGCATCTCTGCCTTATGAAGCAACATCCCTTCTTATAGGCGCCCATACATCTTTGTTTCATAACCCTTTAGGAAAGTTTCTTCCTCCCTCTAGGGTTTGTAGCACTTTCGGGGGAAGCAGGCATGCCGTGCCACCTGCAAGGCTGGACATTCACAAGAAAGCATCAAGGACTTGGGGACCAGAGGGCTGGGGAGGGGAGGCACACCGCAAATCAGACCAGTATCGGTTGGCAATTTGGGCTGAAGCTCGGGCTTCTGGAGCTGGGGAGGAACCGGTCAGCCCGGCGTTGGCCCTGGCAGCCTGGCTCGGTCGGCGCCTGTTCTCCCCGCCCCGGGGACACTCAGGAGGCGGAAAGTTCCCCCCTCCGACGTCCCAGGCGCGGGGCCAGGCAGGCGAGGGGGGCCGGCGTGTGGGGCGGCGGCGGGGGTCCCAGGCCGAGGGGCGGCACGGTTTCCCGGGCGCAGGCGGGGCAGGGGGGTGCTGGCCCCGCGGGCTCACCCACCAGCCCCCTTACCTTGGGCGATGGCGATGGACTCGAAGCGGTGCAGCTCCTTGAGCAGGCAGCTCCGCTCGGTGGAGTGCAGGCTGTAGATAAAGTCGCGCGCGCCCTGCGCCGTGTTCAGCGCCTCCATGGGCTCCTTGGGGTGGGTGCCCAGCGCCCGGGGCCCGCCGGGGGAGCCTCCGGGGCACGCGAGCGCCAGCAGCCCCCGCCCGCAGCCACACCAGGACGGCAGGCGGGGCGCGGCGGCCGGGCCCGGCCTCAGGCTGCGCGCGGTCCAGCTCCGCAGCAGCGGCAGCAGCCGGGACATGGCGGGCTGGGGCGCGGGGACCCCGGCGGCAGTCCGGGGGGCGATTTCTGGCGAGGCTGAGGCTAGAAGAAGGAGCTGGGCTCAGCCGACCCCGCCCCGATGTCCTCCAGATGGGCAGCCGAGGCGCCGGGCACCATGCACTCCCCGGGCCCGCACGGCTCTCGCCTCCTCTGCCGTCCCTGTTCCCTTCCAAAGGGCCCGCGGCAGCTCCGGTCCCTCGGACGGGGAAAAGTTTGTCTGAGGCGGCCGGGCCGGGAGAGCCCCGGGAGGGAGGGCGGGCGGGCGGTGCGGGCCGGCGCCTCCTGCCTGTGGAGGAGCGGCGCGGGCGGGCGGGTTCCGCGAGCGTTTGTGTCTGTCGGTCCGCCTTTCCAGAGGGATGAGTCAGCCACGCGCCGCCCTCCTCCGGCGCCGCCCTTCTCTCCCGCCGGCTTTCCCACCCTCTTGCCCGCCCTTGTTCCCACTCGGAAAGGCTTCTGCGCCCTCGGAAGCGGCCGCGCTCTCCAGCCGCCCCGCCGCCGACACCGCTAGCGGCGGTATGAGGGGTGACGGGGCGGGGCGAAGGCAAGGGGCGTGGAGGGGCGGGGCCGCGCAGGCGCATTCCTCCGGCTCGCGGGCCGCGCCGTCTCCCGTTTTGGGGGCGTGCACTGGCGTGCTCACCTCCTCGGGTGCGTGGAAATGGAGGCAGAGAGGGCTCGCCCGGGTTGTGCTGGCATCGGTCGCCTTAAGTCCAGCGGGGAAAGCAGCGAGGGATTGAACCCCTCGCCCGGCCGGGTAGTGCCGCTGTCACCTGGCCCGCCTTAGCGCCAGGCCTCAATCGGAGGCTCCTTCCGAACGAGGCCCCAGCGGGCCCACCCCCCTCCCTTGGGCACGGGCAGGCGGATACCACCCGGGCCGCTCCCCACAGCCGCGCTGCCGCTGCGAACCTCGCGGGATCACAGCATCCTACCCAGGCTTCTGGAGATTGACGCGCCCAAGCTGCGCTCTTTGCCAAGTCAGCGTGGCCTCGGACAGACACGTCGGTCTTTAAGCTCTGGGAGCTCCAAAGAGAGGGCGAGGCCAGTTTGCCCCTTCCCAAAATAGGTTTGAGACCGAGATCTCGACACTCAGAACACCCTTCCTCGTTCCGATGCCGGCAGCTTGCAGATTGTTAGTGCAGGCGCGCTGGAGCAAGAACGTTACAGACCTTTTCCGGGTGTCTGTCAGGGTTGGTTTGTTTGTTTTCCCTACGCCGGAACAAAGAATTCTGCGATTCTCCACTATTTCCACATGTCCAGGCCCTAGGCATCTTTCAGGTCCCAGCTTAGAGTCTCCTACTCCAAGCTTTCCTTTCTCTCTCAATCTGAACCTGTCTTAAATGATACTTAGGCTTCCTGTCTTAGAGAGATCCACTTAGAGACTAAATCTGCTCAAGTGTAATCAAGCTCTAAATCCTGTCCTTAAATATCCGCTGCTGCTGCAGCCCAAGCCCTGCTAGGTAGTAGACATACTATAAACATGGAAGTGCAATATATTCACTAAATCGCCCTGCTCTCAGTGGTTCTCAAAGTACAGTCCCTGGACAGCAGTGCTTGTTAGACCTGCAAATTAATGCGCTCCACTCGGACCTCCTGAATTAGAACCTGGGAGTTGGGCCCAGTCAGGTGTGCTTTAACAGGCCCTCCACTTAATGTTGATGCACACATAAGTTTGAGAAACACTGCTCTAACTTAAAGAAACATGGAAAGCAATTTATTTTAAATCTCAAGGCCTCTGGTGTAGTAATGACAACTGAGAATGTATTCTGTGGAAACTAAGTTCTTTGAGTGTACAGACGATGTCTCTCTTGTCTTTGAAACCCTCTATACCCCTAGCGTGTGTCGGAATACTCTGCAGTTATTTCAGTCCCAAGAAATTCTGACTCACTGGGCTTGGGGTGGGATCCTAGGAAGTGAGGTTTGGAAAAGCTCCTTGCTAAGAACCCATTCCCAATGACACCAGCTTTGTGTGTCAGCTCCAGAAACAGATTGCTGAGAGTTTGATGGCTGTATCAACCATTTCCTAGCGAGGTGTTAGTGGTACATTATTAAAGTAGTGGTCCCAATGAATCATGCCTTATAGTATCCACTCCCTTGTGTAGACCTGTCCCATATTGACTGTGGGCTTGGCCACGTGAATTTCTTTAGCCAATTAGTGGGACATCATGAATTTGATCTGGTAAGTGCTTGCTGATTGGGGCTTGCTGTAATGTGTTTGCTGTATGATTTATGAGTATTCCATTCTGTTACAGAAAATAGGAGAAACTGAAATGTATGCAAAATTTGCTTATGAGACGTAATAAAATACATGGGTATGTGTTGAACATAGATAAAAAAGGATGGAAAAAATAAAAGTGCTACTTTAGATTGAAACAGGTAGACTAAGTGAACTTTAAATATTAGTAAGGCATGGGACATACCACTTCTAGACTGACAATAATGTCATCTCATCCCTAAATTGGCCACCTACTAGTGACACCCATTATATAGCCTCATGTAGTCTCTGTACAAGGTAATCCCCTAGCTACACAGCCAGGTAATGGCCAGATACAGTTATGATCAGACATACTTGTCCCTATGTCTCTGACAAAGAGATGCACGTTGTTTCCAGGCTCCTTTAATCTGCTACTTCCCCCATCCCCACCTCCCATCCCCCCACCACCCACCCACCGCTTCACTCTCCTCCTTAAAACTACACCATCTGGCCCTGGCTGGTTTGGTTCAGCGGTTAGAGCATCGGCCTGTGGTCCAGAGAGACCCTGGTTCGGTTCCCGCTAAGGGCATGTACTTCAGTTGCAGTTTGTCCCGGGCCCTGGTTGGGTCGTGCGGGTGGCGGCCACTCGATGTGTCCCTTTCACATCAATGTTTCTCTCTCTCTCTCTCTCCTTCCCACTCTATCTGAACAACAACACAAAAAACTACACCATCTGCAGAGAAGAAGACTGGCATGGCAGAAAGGGTTAGGACCTATCAACATTGCATAAAACAAAATTTAGGTACTATGGTCCTTCCACTCTGCTTATACCGTATCCTAAGCATTTCTTTCCTGTTGCTTCTCACTCTATTCTAAATTGGTTGGTAAACTGGTTTATGTTGCTGCTCTTTGAGTGAATGTGTTATGCCAGACTTAGTGGCTAAGATAGCCAGTCTATTTTGCTCTTGATTTTGTGGCTCAGAAATTTGGGAAGGGCTTTCTTGGCCAGCTTATTGTTGAAGTCTCTTATCAGATGTCAACTGCAGCTGCTGTCATTTTAAGGCTCATCTGGGCTAGACATCCAAGATGGCACACTCATGTGGCTGACAGTTGATGCTGGCTGTTGGCTGTCTGGAAGCTCAGCTGTGTCTGTGAACCAAAGAGCCTTCCTACAATCCCTCCAGCATGGCAGACTTCTCACATGGCACCTGGTGTCCCTCAGAGTGAGTGTCTGAAAAGTACCAGACTTAGGGCCTTTTCTGACTTACCCTAACAAGTTCATGCTGCATCACTTCCACTATATTCTACTGGCTACCACCAGACCACAAAAGCCAGCTCAGTCGGAGAAGGTTACAGAAATGGAAGAGGGAGAGGAAGGCCCAGAAGGCAACTTAGCCTGGGTTTGACCTAGCCTGCTCTTTACTTTTCTAGATAACAAACTTCATGCCTCAGTTAACAATCAGAGTCTCCTCTGAATGAAAAATTGCTGCTGAGTCAACAGTCCACGGTAGGTTACGTCATGCAAACACTCTCCAGAGCTTCTGGCACCCCGTTGCTGGCAGGGCACAAGGCTACATTTTATGATTCGGTATACAGCAGGGTATTGCTGTCCACTTCTAAATTCCTGAAATTGTTGCTTTACTTACGAGGACCTTTAATTATTTCTGCTACCCACATTTTTGTAGTTCCCTCATTGAACTTTTATTCCATCGAGTGCCTGCCTTAGGATTCCGGCCCCTGGAATCCCCCTGCTCCACAGGGTTGTGGTGAATCAACTGCCACCTCACAATGAACACCACAAAATATTATTAGAAAAATTAAGGAAGACTTAAATAAATGGAAGGAAATACCCATTCAGGTTTGGAAAACTCAAATTAATCTATAGATTCCGTACAATACCAGTCAGAATCCCAGCTGGGTTTGTGTCTCTGTATGTGTGTGCATGATATTATCAAACTGATACTAAAATTTATATTAAAATGCAAATGGAGGCAGTAGAGCATACTAGAAAGAGCATGGGTCCCCCGAGTTCAAATCCTAATTCTAACACCTACTAGCTGTATCAATTTGGACAAGTTGTCATTCCAAGTCTTGGTTTGGGGATTTTTTGTTAGTTCTTAAAATATACCCCACAGCCCTGGCCAGTTTGGCTCAGCGGTTAGAGCGTCGGCCTGCGGTCCGGAGAGACCCGGGTTCGGTTCCCGCTAAGGGCACGTACTTCGGTTGCAGTTTGTCCCCGACCCTGGTTGGTTGTGCGGTGGCAGCCACTCGATGTGTCCCTTCACATCGATGTTTCTCTCTCTCTATCTCTTCTTCTCTCTCCCTCCCACTCTATCTGTACAAAAAATGGAAAAATGTCCTCGGGTGAGGATAAAAAAAAAAATATATATATATATATATATATATATATATATATATATACCCCACAGAATCATCAGGACAAAATGAAATAATGTATTTAAAACACATGACACCATGCCTCCCATGTAGTATGTGCTCAGCAAATGATAGGTAATATTAACAGGCATTGAGATTCAAAAATTAGTGTTAGCAGTAAACAATATATCTAAAATATATATCAAGGGGTCATATAACTAGAGCTGAAGGAAAGAGAATCCAACTAGATCTCTACTTTCTCAAGACTCCTTTCTCAACGTTTCTCAGCATGCCCACTCCTTGCAGTCTAGCGGTCCAGTTCCCCAAGGGCAAGGCTGGAGATATAAATTTGGGAGCCATCAACATTCAGATACCATTTAAAGCTAGAGAACTGGCCAGGTTCCCTTTGGGGGAAAGTAAAGATGGAGCTGAGGAGAGGGTCTGGGGCCGACCCTGGGACTCTCCACAGTGAGAGAGTGGAAGAGGCCAAGGAGCCAGTGATGTTTGTATCACTAGAGATGCCTGGGACAATGTTCACCTGATATAATACTGGTCATTATTGTTCTTGGGATATTGGATGATTTTTTTAAAAAGTTCTCCTTTGCACTTATCTCTGTTGCTTGAATTGTTTATGGTAAGTGCATATACGTTAAACAAAAACAAAGCTTTTTACTAAAGACAGGAACTACAGAACTTTGGGTATGGAAAATACCCGAGAAATCCTAAATCAACCCTGAACGGACATTTTCTCTTTTGGGCCCTTTGTGTCCCTCTACACCTGTCATTCTGTACTAGCTCTCATCATCAGCTTGGTGGCACTTCATTTCTAATGATTTAATCTACATGTTGAAAAGTCCCCATCACTGGGAAAGAAATAGTATCTCATAGAAGCAAGATAGAAAATACAAGGAGGAGCTATCAGTTGGAACTCAAAACTCCT